GGGTGCTTAGGGTCTCACTACTAGATTGGACTTGTAGTGATCCGCCTGTTTACAGCCTCCCAAGTGCTGGGATTATAGGCACACACCACCACGCCCAGTCTCAATTGCTGTCTCAGCACGCCCTGGGGGTGGGGCCAGCACCACAGGCCCTGGGATTGAACCCTTGGCCCCTGAGCCTGCTTGCAGGTGCTTTAATCCATTGAGATATTTGGCCAGCCCTTTAACTTGATTTCTTGATGGTGGTCATTTTTTCTGGAGTAAGATGAAAGCTCAGGAGTCTTATTATTTGCTCTTTTCTACTGGCCAACAGGAAAGTGGAGGCACCTTGAGACTATGATGTGAAGTGAAATAAATCAATCCCATGAACTGAACTATTGCATGGTTTTTCATATAGGAGAAACTCAAATTATTATTATTTTTAAAATGCGTTTATTTGGCACAGGGTCTCTATACGCAGTTCACACTCATAGGGATCCTCCTGTCTCAGCCTCCCCAGCGCTGACATTACAGGTGTGTGTGTACCTCCACATCTGGTTTCGGTGTCCGGGGCTGGTGCTACATTCAGTACTGGAGACGGAACCTGGGTCCTTGCGCTTGCCAGACAGGTGCTTCTGCCACCGAGCTCTCTTCTCAGCCCAAGAAACACAAATTCTAAATGAGAAGAAAAGCAAAGGCTAGGCATCTGCAGGGAGGGAGAGCTTTGGCAAAGGGAAGGGCCCTTGAGTTGCAGGTGAGGCGTGGGGAAGGGAAGGTCCTGAAGGCAGAACTGAGGTGTGTCCTGGGTGCATGCTGGCTCCCCAGGGGGAGTTATGCACTACAGACACAGACTAATAAAAAACAAAAATTGAAGTATAAGGAAGAAACATGACCTATGACTTCAAGCAGTGTGATTTAGTTAAAAATTGAAATAAAACCAGGATAACCACTTGCTCCAGCTCCTTTCCCCAGCCCACATCCCTTGCTTCCTGTGAGTGATCCTGGCCACATTTCTGGCCTCGTTCGTGGCTCTGGCTTTAGAAGGAGGCCACCCCCAAGTCCCACCATGAGTGCCCTGCGAGGAGCGGGAGGAGCTGGAGGCCCAGGATGTGGTCCTGTGACGGGCTGGCATCCCATGGGCAGACACTTCCTCCCTTGCCTCCGAGGCCACTTGGAGCCCGGTGTCTCTAGACTGGATGTGACAAGGACATTTGTAGCCCAATAGTCTCCAACAGTCACACTGTCAGCAGAGGGCCTGGAAAGGCAGGCAGCACCGCAGGAATCCGGGTGGGAGGTGGGAAAGCTGCTTCCTTCGTGTCTCTCCAGAGTGCCTATTTACAGACCTACCTGTGGCCGGCCCAGCACCAGAGTATTTAAGTTACATGGATCATTAAATTTTATTTTTAAATCCAGCAAAAGGCAAGTTTTCCATTACTAGCAACTGGCAGATTTCTAAAACACAAAAGACAACAAAACAAAACAAAACCAACCAGCCACCACACCACTGAGCCGTTCCTAGGACAGATGACACTGGCTGTGGCGGCCGGCATGGGTCCCCTGCTGAGTTCTCATGGAGCTCTTCATCCCCCCTTCCGTGGGAGGCCCGAGTCCCGTTGCTGAGGAGAAAGCTCAGCAGAGGTCCCCCGGTGGCCAGCGGTGAGTGTTTCAGTTCTGACTGTCACAGACCCCACACTGCAGGTATACACCTGTGGGGTAGAGGAGCGCGCACACAGCCTGCAGCTCATGTGGCACGTCCGTGTGGGCAGAGGTGGCCCGGGGCTGCAGTGGAGAAGAGGGGGATTATTCAATAAAAAGAGGCTGGAAAAATCGGTTGTCTATTTGGAAAAAAAAAGGATTTGGATCCCACCCTTCCACCATACCCCCAAATCAACTCCAGATGCATTAGGGACTTAAATGTCAAAAGCAGACTTTGAAACACTTAAGAGAAAAACATAGGTGGGTGTCTTTCCAACCTTGGGTAGGGAAGGATTTCTTAAGCAGGCACAAAAGTGCAAACTATAAAGGGAAAGAGAAGATTTATGATTGTGACTTTATTAACATTAAGAAATTATGTCCACTAGATGAATTCCTAAAGAAGGCCAAGTAGCAAATCCCACCCGAGAGCGCTCCCGGGGAACATAATGCTGCCAGGGTTTAGCGTCAGGAATATGGAGAGACTCTTGCAAAATGTCGAAATCAAACAGCTCCATAGAGAGAAGAAAATAGTCCAGTAGAGAAAAAGAAAAAGATCAAAAAACATAAATAGACATTGCAGGGCAGAAACAGCCAGAGTATAAAACATATCCAGCTTTCTAGAAATTCACGCGACGGAGCCCACAACCTGTGGAGCAGCCGGTCAACACCACAGTGAGGTCCGCCGTGTGTCCAAATTACTCACAAGAGTGAAGAACTGAAACTCAACCCCAAATTGGAGGGTTTGCATGAGATTTCTTAGCATCGCTGGCACAACTGGCTAACCAGTTGGGAAGCTGCTTGACAGTATACTTTGAATATTTGGGCCCCCATGACATGGCAGTAAGCACATAAAATTCTTGTATTTGGACACCAAGAAAAGCATATGAAAGTGCCCATAATAACAATACAATAACAACTTCCGATAAATCCTATGAATGGAGAGTTAAAGAAATCATGTACCCTGGATTGCATTCTAGCAGTTATTGGGATAACTTACTGGGATAAGATGACGTTGAGAGACAGCAAGGGCTCCACTGGGGCCCTTCATCACACTTAAGGACGGCTAGAACTGAACCGTGACAGCTTTGATCGTTCTCCCTCTCTCTCTCTCTCTCTCTCTCTCTCTCTCTATATATAT